ACAAATAACAATAAATGATCGAGAGAACAGAATCACAAAACGACATTTCAAACAAGTCATTTACTCGATCGTCATTGGAAAATGAGACTAAGATCAATTGGAACTTCTTTATAACCACTGCTGTAAATGTCACAGGTGTTTATGAGTGTGTGTGTGCGGACTGTTAGTGAACAAGGTAGCAAGATATGAAAATACGGTATGTTTTTTTTTTCAAGTTAAACATGTTAAAAGAAAAGTCACAAGTCATACACAAAAGTTTAATCAGCCAAATAAAGTACACAATCAAGAGTAAAAGCACGACAAACATTTGAGCAAATGTACATCGCACAAACATTGTTTTATTGACATTATCTGAAAATTCTTTCAGAATAGGTAGGCAACAGAGGGCAGAAATAGTTAAAAGTTAGCCATGAAGCAACTAAGGCTGAGGTTAGCTTCAAATTTTACAAAAAAAAGCAGCCAAAACAAAATGTCTTAAACATGGCAACAAGGTTCTAGGTCAGAGAACAGAACAAGGGTGGCACTGGAGACCCTCAAGTAAATCAAGAATAAGATCACTTTTCCTGGGCATCTACTGGGTTCTGAGTCAGGCCTACTTTCTGATCACACCCATGTGACCATTATTGTGCCCACATTACCCTCAGGGCCCAGATGGGCTCTTCAAGGTAGAGGTCAAAGGGCTGAGCAAATGTTAGCATTTGAGCTCATATAAACTTAGCAGGTGGCGCTTTGGCCCAGAGGCAATGTCTCTGTAATTGGTGTGGAACTCCATGGTTCACCTCCTGGACAAGTTCGAATCCCGGTTAGGGCGGTTGGTACCTTCCAGTGGACTCACCACCCGCAGGAAGGTTTGGTACGGTGCAATGTGATTTGGGTGGCGACTGCTGCCCCCGCGACCCGGTAACGGATAAGCGGATGAAAATGGATGGATGGATGGATAAACTTAGCAGCCATTTTGTTAGTTAATTCAAGCATTTCTTGTACAGGACAGATTCAATTTCAAATGTTTCCTAAAAACCTTGTCTCGCAGCCCATAAACAACTGGACTGATGAGTCGAGGAAGAACATGAACCAAGATGGTGACAGCAAATGCATTGCTCGGATTGCATTTGGAAACAGCAACAACAGACCACTGATGATCAGGTCATAAACGTAGCTGAGCATACACAGCAGCAGCTGGAAGCCGTGCAGAAGTACGGTGTTCCGAGCTTTTTTAGCATCATGAGCAGCAGCTTTAGCAGCGCTTAGGATCTTGAAGTAGGTGTAGAACAAAGTAAGCCAGACCAGGACCAAGAACACTTGGTTCA